GCTTACAAGTATCTGTTGTATTCTGTTATAGTTCTTTTCATCTCCATGATGTCAGTGCTAATTTCCCCACTTGTCTTCCTGATTTTAGTAATTTGAGTTTTTTTTTTTTTCTTGGTCAGTCTAGCTCAAGTTTTGTCCAATTATGTAATGTCATTTTTATTGTATACTTTCCTCGTTGTTCTATCGTAGTGATTTTTTTTTTTTGCCTGACGTTTCTTTTGTCTGACCCTAGATTTAGTCACCTCATTTCCTTTTGGATAAAGTTTGCAGGAAACATGTTTTTCCAGTCTTTCACTTTCCCCTTAATTGCGTCTTTGGACCCAAGGTGCTTTCTGAGGAGGAGCTGACCATAAAGCTTGTCAAATATCTCACAGACACATGAATTGCTTCTCGCTTGTTGCTTTTAAGACGATTTGGTTCTTCAATCCCTTGGTTGACCCTCTTTGAATTTCCTACTTAGGGCTTATCAAGCCTTTTGACTTTGTGCATGTCTGTTTCATCCAAACTGGGGAAGTTTCTACCCCTTATTTCTTCCATTTCTCCCTCCCTTCTCCTTTGGAATTTCCACTATGAATATCCCGGTACATTTCACAGTGTCCCCAGGCCTTTTGGGTTCTGTTACTTTTTCTTCAGTCTTTTTTTTTTTCTGGTCCTCAGACTATAAATTCAGTTGTCCTATTTTCATGTTTACCAGCTCTTTCTTCTGTCTGCTCACATCGTCTTTGGAAACCCTCTGGTGAATATTACATTTCAGTTACACTTTTTAGCTTTAGAATATTTCCTTTAGCTCCTTCTTATTATTTTTATCTCTTTATTTTTAAAAGAAATTTTATTTTATCCCATTCTTCCCCACAAGTCAAGTCCCCTCCCTTCCCTATGTACAAAAGCTTTGTTTCCATTTTTCCTTCTATTTTCGCTTTCTTGTCCCTTCCTTTTCCCCTCCCTCCTCCCTTGTTCCCCTTCCCATTTGAACACTTTCTTCCCATTTCCCAACATCCATTTCAGTCCTTATTTCCACTTTTGGTTTCTCATACCAGAGAAGCAATGTGGCATTTAAATATTCCGTATTTGGTGTGGCACTGTTTTATAGTTTCCTTTAGTTCTTTATATATGGGTTGTTTTTTTCCTTGGAGCTCTGTGAGAATATTTGAAAGAGTTCTTTTAAAATCTAGTCAGTTTGCCTCTGGCCAGATTGCTTCCAGACAAGAGCCCACACTGCCTTCTCCTGAGGAGGGGGAAACTGAAGCTCACCCTCGAGAGCTAAGTGAGAAGGGTGCCCGTGAATGAAATAAGCCCTGGAACTGTCATGTTCTCCCCGTGCAGACACTGGGCAGCCCCAGCACCCTGAAGAACAGAGGGGAGCAGTCTGTTCATGTTGTGTTCTTGGACTTTCCGAGGCTGTGTGTGACCGGTGGTGACAGCCCGCTCTAGGGAGGTTTCAAGAGCTCTGGCCAGCAAAGTGAAACATTAGTAAATGTGAGTCTGGTTATATAAAAGATCTAGAAAGACAAGGTGTTCTGATAAAGTGAATCACCTCCTGCAAAAGCCATGAAGTGATCCACAGATCCCCCGCCAGGGTGACACTTATCAAAAGAAAATGCGAGAATTTATTGAGGACTGCTTTTTTATTCTCCCTTTCCCAAGCCCTTTGAAAAAATAGGAAACCTCTTGGATGAAGCATATTTTCAAATAAAGAATAAAGTATGATACAGGACTTATACATATCTTGTTATTGTGTATTTGCAGTTCCAAAAATAACATCTAAAAACTTTATGATGGTGTTTAATATGAGATTGCCTGTAGTTTTGTTTTGTGTGTATTTTATTTTTTGTTTTGAGACAGGGTCTGGCTAGGTAGTTCAAGCTGGCGTTGAAGTCATTGTGTAACCCATGCTGGCCCCAAACACATAGCAATCCTCCTGCCTCAGCCTTCTGAATGCTAGGATTACAGGCCTACATCACCATGTCTAGCCATTGCCAGTATTTTAGATCATTCCATTTTCTTTTTTTTTTTTTTTTTTTTTTTTTTCGTACCAAAGATCGAACTTGGGCCCTTGTGCTTGTGAGGCAGGTGCTAGAACCAAAGCCCTGGCCCCAGATCATTCCATTTTCGAAACACATAAAGGACAGTAAAACATAGTAAAATCTCCTAAAGCAACCCAAAATGTTGTCTTTTGTCCGAGGGCATTGCCTCTCACTGGAGAGAGAAAGTTTTCCTTAGAACAATCTCTTAGTTCATATAGTCCTTTGGCAAATAATTATCACACAAGTTCCTATTCCTGGGTAGGCTGCTGGACTAAATCAGACCTTACCAAAATAAGGTTCAGGTGACTAGCGTCATAGTCTTCCTAGGGGAGATTTGAATTTTCTTTTGAGTTTATATCTTAAAATACATATGAATGGAGTATGCAGAGCTATGTTTTTGACCTGCAGAGGATTTTTTTTTTCTTTTTGTATTTTGAGACAGGGTCTCACTATGTAACTCAGGCTGGCCTTGGATGCTTGATCCTCCTGCCTCGGCCTCCTAAGCGCTGGGGTTGAAGGCGTGTGCCACCATACTTGGTGGTTTGAAGGACTTTTACCTGAATCTGGGTCACTGGAAAAGACTGTTGCTAAGTTAGCTTCAGCAAACTGAGTGTTTTATTCCTGGGAAAATCGTCTCCAGGGAAGTACCGTGTAAAACAGTCTTGATGAGGAAGGAACGTCCTTCTGACGCCTGTCACCGAGCGGTGGCTCTGGCTGAGAGTCCTCCCGTGCACACCTGCAGCAGTGCTGGGTACCTGTGACCTACAAGGCTTTAGCCAGGTGGGTGCGGGAGGGAGCATCCCTTGTTCGGGAATCTAAAACCTCATAAATGTGTCATAAGTGGGATCTAAACAGCAGTGTGGTGGGTGCATTCGTGCTGTATTCAGATTTATGCCCTTTTCACGATGTGCATTACACTTTTAAGAAAAAAATTCCCCCAGAAAAGGGCTTTGGGAATTCAAGCTCAGAAGATGCTCTTGCCAGCTGAGAATGTGAGGAGCCTCCTCCACAAGGAAACTTCCTTGAGGCTTCGTGTTGTACCTGAGAGTTTGTCACCATCGGAACGAGGTGGTTTTGTTTTCAGGTAACCGGATGATGTCGTTGTCACCGCTGTAGCAACTATTCCATACTAAAGTCGCCTTGTGCGCCAGCTCCAGCAGGCCTGGGTGCATTGTGCCCACTAACCCACATAGCCCGACTCTCATTGTTTCCATGCGGCAGAGGCAGAAGTGGTGAGAAATAATTTGCCTGAAATCACTCCACCACATAAGTGGTGGGCCAGGATGCACACTGCTCCCCATGGAAGTTTCCAGATGGCCAGGAATCCCCCCGGGGCCCCAGACCTGCGTCATAGTGCCGTGGTTAGAAGACACTGGTTGTCTTTTTCACCCTTGTGCGCGCAAGAGTATACAGTGGAGCTATCCAGAGCGTGTCTGATGTGTGCTGTTCCGGCAACACGGAAGCAGAGGCAAAAATGAGCAACAGCTGATTGCTGCAAAGCCAGATACTGCCAAGATTTTAAAAATGGAAAACAATGCCATTTTCTTCCCCAAATTTTTTTTTTTTTTTTCACAGTAATGCATTTTTTTTTTATTGAGTTTATTGGTACATTTAGGGATACAGTACAGTTACATTCATTGTTGGGATCATGTACCTTTACATGGCAAGTCTTGATTCTCATTTTTTTCCCCTTACCTCTGCCCTCCCTTCACCCCCTCCTCCCCTCCCCATCTACAAACACTTTATTTTCATCTTTTCATTCTCTCACATTTTTTTCTTTTCCCTTTTTGTTCTTCCCCTACGTATCACACCTTCCCTACACCTTTAGCTCCTTTCCTCCCATTTCTAAATGTCAGTAATCTTATTAGAATCTTATGCATTGTTGCAGAATATTCACACCAGGGAAACTATTTGGTATTTACACATGTGGGACTTATTTATTTCACTTAGGAGTATATCTTCAATATGTATCCATTTTCCTATGAATGAATCTATTCTCTCGCTCTTTATGGCTGAGTAATATTCCATTTTATAGAAAAACCACATCTTCTTTATCCAGTTTCCAACGGATGGGCAAATAGGTTGTTTCCAAGATTTAGCTATTACAAACTGTGCCGCTATAAACATGGGTGCACATACTTCTCTGTGATATGATTCTTTTAGTTCTCTTGGAAAGATACCCAACAGAGGGATGGCTGGGTCAAATGGAACCTCCAGTCCAAGCTCTTTGAGGTATCTCCATATTGATTTCCATAGTGGTTGCACTAGTCTGCACTCCCACCAACAATGGAGGAGGGTTCCTTTCTCCCCACAACCCCGCCAACATTTGTTATTGTGTGATTTCTTGATAGCAGCCATTCTTTGTGGGGTGAGGTGGAATCTCAGTGTTGTTTTCATCTGCATCTCTCGAATGACCAGTGATGTGGAACATTTTTTCATATATTTTCTTGCTGCTTTCACTTCTTTGTATGAGAAATGTCTGTTCATTTCGGATGCCCATTTTTGGATCGGGTCTTTATATTTGTCTTCCCCAAATTTTTTATGTTGGAAACGTAATTATTTTTCATAAACTATATGATCCATGTTAATACTTAAATGGATTTACTATTGCTGTTACTAGATTAGGGAGTCATGCACGTATGCAAAGTCCTTTTGGTGTCCGCAGTAGTTTTAAAGAGTGTCTAGAAGGCCCTAGACCAAATGCTTGAGAATCACAGCCCTACACAGTTCTGCCTCAGGCAGTGGCCACCAACAGGCTGGCTTTGTGGCTGCAGCAGTAGCTCTGAGTCAGACCCACCTCTATTTGGGACCCGTGGCATCAAATCTTCTTCCTTTCCTGCCGTGCAGCTGAGAGAGCAGTGCCAGCATTCTGCGATGGCCATGAGAATTAGCTGTGGAAGTGAAAGGAAACTGCTTCCTGTAGAGGAAGCCCTCGGCCAGTGACCCTGACCGTGGACTTTTCTTGTGTCCCTGCAGGTGATGGAATTTTACTGCCAGTCCTGCGAGACCGCCATGTGTCACGAGTGCACAGAAGGGGAGCACGCGGAGCACCCCACGGTCCCGCTCAAGGATGTGGTGGAGCAGCACAAGGCCGCCCTCCAGGTCCAGTTGGATGCTGTCAACAAAAGGTGCGACACCCTGGCCAGGGTCCCCGAGCTGTAGTAGGCTCAGGTTACCCTGGAGGTATCCGTCGTTATGTCATAAATTCGCCTTTGATCCCAGGGCTGTGGTCAAGACCTGGTAAGAGATAAGTTTCCCCTTCTCCCTGGTAAAATTCCAACTGCAATGGAGTGGTGGCATGTTTTTAGTCTAGTCTAGGAAGATAAAATGAATTAAAGTACAGTCAAGAAAAATACACTCTGGAGATGTCTGAAGTTCCTTCCTGAACCATCCCTCAAGATCTCTATAGCTGCTCTGTGTAGCCAGGAGTCTTCTCCCCATGGGTCCTGCAGAATGGTGTTGTGCTCCCCTGCGTCTAGTTTTTTTGGCGCAGACATAAGGGAACAGAGTAGTTGTTGTGCGTGAGAAACATCAGAGGAAATTAGCAGCTGCAAAGCAGACAAAATAGTAAATATCACAGCAATAGTCAGTAGCCATAGCAAGAAAAGTATGATTATTCTAAACTAACAAAAAGCACTTGGACACTTCTGAAAATTCCCAGAAAACTCTCAGTTTGGATAAGTATTCTGTGGTTTGGAAAAAAATACAGTTATATACGTAGATCAGTGGTTTTCAACCATGGGCAGGTCTGTCCCCCTCTCCCTGGGGACATTTGGCAGTGTTTGAAGACATTTTTGCTGTCACAGCTGTGTGCAAGGCTGCTGCTGGCACCGGGTAGAGGACAGGATGCTACAGAGATTCCCACAGTGCACAGGACGGTTCCCTGTGGCCATAGTGGTTTTTCCTAGAGCTTCAAGTCTTCCACCATCAATTATTAAAATGAGATGAGTGAAGACAAACAGATATGAACCTTCAGAGTCTTGTTCATTTGTTGATTAGTCCATTCTAAAGATGACAAAAAGCATAGAAAAAGGTTGTATACAGCCTAGTGTTAGGGTACAGTACTTTGGATTTTTTTTTTTTCCGGTACTGGGGATCAAACTCAGGATCTTGTGAGGTGGGCATGGTGCCACTGCGCTAAATCCCCAGGCCTCTACTTTGGAATATTTGGTGTTAAAGACCTCTAACAACTATTCTTCAGGCTCCCAGAAATAGATTCTGCTCTTCAGTTCATCTCTGAAATCATTCACCAGTTAACCAACCAAAAGGCCAGCATAGTGGATGACATCCACTCCACTTTTGATGAGCTGCAGAAGACTCTGAACGTGCGCAAGAGCGTGCTGCTTATGGAACTGGAAGTCAACTATGGCCTCAAACACAAAGTAAGACTCCAGCCGGGACGTGACAGCAGGGCCCTTCCAAGGCAGGCTGACTATCCCAGTAGCCGCAGAGACTCAGGTCCTTAAACATCACCATCGTACAGTAAAGTGCCGTTTGCATTTAATAAAGTAACCCAGCTTTGTTTTTTTTTTTTCCTGTTCTCAGCAAAACTGTATGATTCCATGACCTTAAGTCTCGATTTATAATTTGACAAAAGGCGAGGTTGAATATCACATCCTGCTTTCAGGACTGGGGGTTAAACTGGCTTGTTTCCTTCCTTAATTATAATATGGAACGTCTCTTAATTGCTCTGCTATCCATACCAACCTGTTTGTCAACTCCAAAGCACACCCTGACTGCCGTCTTTGTTCAGCTCTGCCAGTCTGTTCTAAAGCACAGAATGTCTCTGGTATTTAGGTGTGGAGACTTTGCCTGCGTTTGGTTTCTGTTCCTTTGGATGCTGACCGGGGAGCTTTGAACATTCGGGAAAGATACTGAATAAGGAATATTGAGATGTCGGGCCCATTAGTTTGTTTGACACAGCTCTTGGGTGTGACAGCTTCTCCTTGCTCCTGTGCAAACCCACAATCCAAAAATAAGTGTGGGAGCTGAGGCGGGGCGAGGTGGAAGGGACCCCGAGGAGGCGGTGGGAATGCAGGGTGGTGTTGCTGTAGAAGCCGGTCCTCGGGCCCTGTGTGGGAGGCCTCCCGCGGGAAGAGGGCGGGCAGGCGCGGCTGAGCCGGGCGGGGCAGCCTCACCAGCCCTCCGCTTCTCCTTCTCCGCAGGTGCTGCAGTCGCAGCTGGACACGCTGCTGCAGGGCCAGGAGAGCATCAAGAGCTGCAGCAACTTCACGGCGCAGGCCCTCAACCATGGCACAGAGACCGAGGTGCTGCTGGTGAAGAAGCAGATGAGCGAGAAGCTCAACGAGCTGGCCGACCAGGTCTTCCCGCTGCACCCGCGCGAGAACGACCAGCTGGACTTCATCGTGGAGACCGAGGGCCTGAAGAAATCCATCCACAACCTCGGCACCATCCTGACCACCAATGCCGTGGCCTCCGAGACGGTGGCCACGGGTGAGGGGCTCCGGCAGACCATCATCGGGCAGCCCATGTCTGTGACCATCACCACCAAGGACAAGGACGGTGAGCTGTGCAAGACCGGCAACGCCTACCTCACGGCCGAGCTCAGCACCCCCGACGGCAGCGTGGCGGACGGCGAGATCCTGGACAACAAGAACGGCACCTACGAGTTCCTGTACACCGTGCAGAAGGAGGGCGACTTTACGCTGTCGCTGCGCCTCTACGACCAGCACATCCGGGGCAGCCCGTTCAAGCTCAAGGTCATCCGCTCGGCCGACGTGTCGCCCACCACCGAGGGCGTCAAGCGGCGCGTCAAGTCCCCGGGCAGCGGCCACGTGAAGCAGAAGGCGGTGAAGCGGCCGGCCAGCATGTACAGCACAGGCAAGCGGAAAGAGAACCCCATCGAGGACGCCACACCGATACCCAGGTGCAG